AGATATACAGACAGATCAGCAGACAGACAGACAGATACACAGACAGACAGACAGACAGACAACTTTCAGGATGGTTGCTTTCCCTTGTAATCTTGTGGAATGAATCTGAAAACCTGATTCTGAGAAGGGGGACGTGCGTGTCAGCCATTTGCCAGGAGGCTGGGACGCTAATACGATAAAGACCCCCTGATCTGGTCCAACCCTCTCATTTTGCAGAGTAGGAAACTGAGTCCCACAGAGGTGACCTATTACTTGTCCAAGATCACATGGATTACTCATTAATTAAAAAAAACCTGCTGTTGTTATTTCGTTGTTTTCACTTGTGTCTGACTCTCCATGATGCATTTGGGGTTTTCTTGGCGGAGATACTGGAGCGGTTTGCCCTTTCCTTCTCCAGCTCATTTACAGATGAGGAAACTGAAGCAAACGGGGTGAAGTGACTTGCCCAGGGTCACACAGCTAGGAAGTGTCTGAAGCTAGATTTGAACTCAGGAAAATGAGTCCTCCTGACTCCAGGCCTGACACTCTATCAACTGTGCTGCATTTCAACAAATACAGAATGACCCAAAAGTCCCAAAAGTCTTAGTACAGTTTTAAGCTATTAAGTCACAGAATTTAGAACTGAACATTAACGTCAGAGGTCGACCCCTTTATCTAACAGATTAGGAAACAGAGGAACAGTGCCCAGTGTGAAGAGCCTGTGGTTAGTGCTGGCTGGTCCTCGTGTCTCAAGACCGCCTGGAAGTGCCCTTTTCTGTGAGATGGGAGCCTGTGAGAAAATTCCAGCGGGCTCCTGGGAATCAGTAAAGAGCAGTGAGGCCTCGCTGGTCTCCAACACTCAGCCCTGTATTCCCTGTAAGCAATGAGAGGAAGGATCCTTTCCCTCTGTCTGCATCATCTACCACCTCCCTCAAGAAGCCATGACCAGAATATATAAACGAAAGGTCAAAAGATCCCAGGCCCCAATCAGCTTGGACTAGGAGAGAACAAGGAGATGTCTTGTCATTCTGTTCTGTCTATGCCCTTTCAGTAAATGCCTTTGCACTGAGCCTATTGTCACCTCTGACTGACCAGAGGCAAGGTACACACTGGTGGGGGCTCAGGAAGTCTAGTTTTAGGAGCGTGGACCCAGAGAATTTCTTGAACCCTCCAGGGAGACCCAACCCTCAGGTGCAAGTACTTGGGGGGAGGGGATGAGGGGAGGGGTTAACCATTCCCCACCCCTCACCCCCATCACTGGAACGGCAGCAAAGGTCTGCTCTCCCTCCCCCCGCCTCACCTCTGCCGGTCTTCATCCAAGCAGTTCACTATGGCGTTGCGCTGCTCGATGAGGGTCACCAGCTCCTGCATGAGCACCTTCTCCCGTCCCCGGTCTTCCTCCGTCCAGTCCTTATCTGCCCACGGAAGGAGAGAGAAAAACAAGCTCAGACCAGGAAGAGACATCTCCAAGATCATCTGGTCTAATCTGCGCCAGAGAAAAGCGGGGATCCCTCTAGCAACACCTCCAACAGGAGGACTCTCTGGGCCTGCCCTTGGATACTTCTAGCGATGGAGAGCTCACTATCTAACTAAGAAGTGTAGCCTAGGCGGAAAGACCCCGGTCTTCCTGACTCCTGAGTCCAGCGCCTTCTTTACTTCCGTCCATCCTTTTTCTGCCCACACACTGCAGCAGGGGGGTTCCAGCTGGGCTTCCCACTTATTCTGGCCCCACCCCCATCCTCCCTGCCGCCCTGCCCAAGCTGCCCTTTCCCAACCTGGCCCCAGCCTCGTTGCCGTCCTTCAGCAGGAGGCTGTCCAGCGACGAGCTGGGGGCCGTGCTCACCGGGCTTGTTGAGAAGGCACCGCAGCTCGTATTCCACGTCAGCCTGGCGCTGCTCCAGATTCTGCTGCTTGAAGCTGCCAGGGACAGAGAGAAAAGGCTGAGACCTGGAGGGCACTCCTGGCGGCAGGAACAAGAATCCAGCGGCTGCCCTTCTCTGCAAGGGTGGGGGGCTACAGGTGCAGGACGCTACATACTCATGCTGTCAGGCTAGGTCCATGCCCTGGCTACTTCTGTCGAAATGGTTTATCCCACCTTCCCTCTTATTCTTTTTTATGAAGAACGAGAGGCAAGGGAGGTATAATGCGTGGGGAATCAGCTAGGAAGACCTGGGTTCAAATCCTGCTTCCGACTTCTCAGTGCTCTAGGCAAAGTCTAAGGCTAGACATTGCAGATTAGGTGGCAACGTGCATTAGTGAAGGGGGTTTTCTCCCCTGGGAGTCCCCCATACCAGTAACAGCACAGTCCACTCCCTATCCCTATCCAGGGCCTGAATCTCTGGCAAACAAGTAAAGATGTTGTAAAAACAGGCAAACAAAAACGATCAAGTTCTATGCCCAAAGGGCTTTCAAAATGTGCATACCCTTTGACCCAGCAATAGCACTTCTAGGGCTATAACCTAGAGAGATCATAAAATGGGGAAAGGACCCACATACACAAAACTATTTATAGCAGCTCTTTCTGTGGTGGCAAAGAACTGGAAATTGAGGGATGCTCATCAGTTGGGGAATATATATGAATGTAATGGAATACTATTGTGCTATAAGAAATGATGAGCAGATGGACTTAGAAAAACCTGGAAAGACTTGTATGGTCTGATGCTGAGTGAAGAGAGCAGAACCAGGAGAACGTTGTACACAGTAACAGCCACGCTGTGCGATGACTAACGTTGATAGACTTAGCTCTTCTCAGCAATGCAAGGATCTAAGACATCTCCAAAGGTCTCATGATGGAAAATGCTATCCACATCCAGAGAAAGAACCATGAAGTCTGAATGCAGATCAAAGCAGACTATTTGCTATTTTTTTTTCTTCTGTTGAGTTTTGTTTCCTCTTTCTGGTGGTTCCTCCTATTGGTTCTAATTCTTACTTACAACATCACTAATGTGAAAATATGTTTAATATGAATGTAAATGTATAGCCTATATCAGATTGTGTGTCATCTTGGGGAGGGTGGTGGGGAGGGAGGGGGAGAAAAATTTTAAACTCAAAAGCTTATGGAAGTGATGGTTGATAAACCAAAATAAATTAATTAAAAAAAATGATCAAGTTCTCCATGGCAGATGTGTCTGGCTGCAGCAGAGAGATGCAGAGATGGAGAGAGAGCTGTGGAGACAGCTCTCTGCTCCCACTAGGTCTCGGTGTATTTCTGGCCTGAAAGCCCCCGGCCTGCTTCTGGAGGCCCAGGGACGCTCCCTCCCAGCCCCGCAGCTTAGGGGAGACCCAAGGGAGGGAGAAGCGGCCGCCACCACCAGTGAACTCACACGTAGATGAGCTCCGACTCCCGCCGGACCAGCATGTGCTTCTCGTGAATAAGCTTGAACCAGTCCACCAAAAGATCATCTTCATGGCTGTCTGCAAGGGGAAGCACACGGCCTGAGCCCAGGGGCCGCCCTCGGAGGCCCAGGGACGCTGCCACTGGCGAGGGGCCCTCCCACGGAGCTCCCGGGGCCGGGGATCTGGGCAGGCGTTAACGTGCAGCCTCATGAAGCCCGTGGATTCCAGAATTCGTTTCCAGAGGGCGAGGGGAGCAGCTGGAAGCAGCCCAAACTGGCCTGGCTAGTTTCAGGAGGTCACCCCACCCCAGAGGGACTGGGCAGGGGCTGAGGAGAGGGAATCCCATGCCCCACACGACCCTCCTTCCCCATGCCAGACAGTACCCCCAGCCTGGGCCGAGGAGCTCCTGGGCATGGTGCCTGGCCCTCCCTCTGTCATAGCCCACTTCCTCCGGGGCACCCCACATACCGTTCTGCCCACTGCGGAGTTTCTCCTCCAGGGCCACCCCGCGATGCTCCAGCTGGTCCAGCTGCCGCTCGATGCCGTCCATCTCCCCATGGAGATCCTCCTCGGGGATGTACTGGTCAGCTTGGACCTGCCCAAAAGGCCCCCAGGTGAGGACCCAGGCAGGGGAGGGAGAGGGGCAGGGGGAGGGGGAGGCCCACTTCGCTGCCCCGCCCACCATCTGTCTGGTCACTGAGCCGTGGCAGCCAGCCACAGGCCCGGGGAGGCTTTACAAGAGCAGGGCAAGCCTAGCACCCATGTCTAGCCCGCTCTAGAACGCTCTGGACTGAGAGCATCCTTAATGAGAGGAAGAGAAGGAAGAAAGGGGGAAAAGCAAAGAGAGAGGAGGAAGAAGGAGGAAAGAGGAGACTAAGGGAGAGGCAGCATGGGCCAGTGGAGAGACAACTGGCCTCTGAGTCAGGGAGAGCCGAGTTCAAATCGAGCTTCCAGCACAGTCAGTAGCTGGCTGACACCAGGCCTGCACCCCCATCAGCTGGAGCTGACCCTGGCTGCTGTCCCCCCACCCAGCCCAGCACAGCGCCAGGCACACAGCAGGTGCTTCCTAAATGCTCTTCCATCCCTTCATTCTCATTCCAGGCATGGTGCGGCCCGGATGTGCTCTGAGGCCACGCTCCGGGCCTGTGGTTCACAGAAGACCCTGCAAGGCCTGGAGGCTAGGGATGAGCGCGTACCTTGCGTTTGATGAGGGGGAAGCCGTGTCCAGGGGCAGGCGGCCGCACAGGCTTGGCTCCCTTCTGGGTCTTCCTGGTGGCGGGGGAGGACATGGGGGACGCCTTCCGATTGAAGGGGTTCTCTTTGCAGGAGGACTGAAAACAACCAGAGAGAGAAGCTGGCTGAGAACGGAGGCTGGAGATCAGGGCGGCGAGCGGCCCGCTGGGTCACACTAACTTTTGGAGAGATCCGGGGGCGTTCTTCTAAAGTCGATCTGAGCGGGTCACTCCCCAGCTCCCGAAGCTGCAGGGGCTCCCTATTACCTCCAGGGCCAATGACAGTCTCCTCTGTTTGCCCATCACCACCCGACGCTCCCCCCTACCCCGGCCCAGGATTCCTGGCCTTCTTGCTGTGACTGGCCCAGGACCCTTCATCTCCCATCTCTGCCTCTGCCCAGGCTGACCCCCTACCTTGTTCCCTCCTGAGCTCAGCTCCAGGGCCGGCTGATCCCCCAGGGCCGCCAGCACCCCCCCCCCCCAAGTGTGGTGTCTCTCCTGAGGGAACGCAAGCTCTTTGAGGGCAGGGACGATTTGGTGTTGGCTTGTACTTCCAGCACCTAACACAGCGCTTGGCACACAGCAGGCATTTAATAAATGCTCATGGATTGACTGCTCAAGGTCACACAGGTAGGAGAGCTGGAGGAAGAGGGGAAAGGAGGAGAGGCAGGATTCAAATCTGGTCTTCTGTCAACCCCTGGGAACCTCTGGGCCCCCACCCCACTCTGACCAGCAGTTTCCAAGCACCCCGGCTTCCCGGCAGAGCTCTGCACCCTCCCCCTCTTGCGGCTCAGCTGTCCTGGGCACCCAGGGCCCGCAGGCCCTCCTGCTGTCACCCCAGCTCCATCCTGGAAGAATCTCCTCTCCCCTCCCTCCTTCTCCTCCCTCAAGAGATGCCCGGCCTTGTTTGCCGCTGACTGCCAGCATCAAAGTGGGTGCTCCAGGGGCCCCCCTCCCGGCACACCCCGTCTGGGAAAGTGCCCAGCCCTGCTGTGGAGGGGTTCTACGGCTAATGTGGGGCCCCTGGGGGTTCAACAGCCAGCTTCTCTGGACTCCAGGAAAATCACTTTACCTGCCTGCCTCAGTTTCCTCGACTTTGAAATGAAGTCACGCCAGCACCTCCCTTCCAGGTTGTTTGGAAGATCAATGAGATAACGTGTGTACAGCACATGTCAGCCCAGTGCTTGGCGCATGGTGGGCACTTAAATTATCTTCCCTTCCCTCCCTCCTTCCTTCCTAAAGCTAAAACTGTGGGTGAACAACCAAACCCCAGACTGGAGAAGGCTCCCCACACAGGACTACAGAAATCTGGGCCTGGCGCGAGGAACAAGGGATTTGGGTCAGAGGCCCTGGGTTCAAATCTTGTCTTTCCCCAGCCCCGGAGGCAGGGGTGGCCCTCCACAGGCAGCTCTCCGTCTGTGATCCCGTCATTACTGCCCGGGTGACCCCTCTCTGGGCCTCAGTTTCCTCCTCAGTACAATGGGGGGCAGTGGCCTCTGATCACAAGGGTCCCCTCCACCTCCCCAACACTGAGTCTGACCCCCGGGGAGGAAGGAAGGCTCGGCCTGCACTTTTTGGGGCCAGCCTGGGCCTCCCCGGCCCCTCCCCCGGAGCATCCCCTGGCCTGCGTTAGAGCCACCTGGCCTGGGGATCAGGACAATCTGGGATCTCTGTCAATACTGTCTGAGCACGTTCCAGGTCTGCTCAACCAGGACTAATGGTCAGGCCCAGGAGGAGCATCTCCCGCCACGTTCCCTCAGGGCTTGTCTCGGGCCGGGAACCCAGGCTAGAGAAGGGAAGGAGGAAGGGGGGCGGGGAGGGAGGAGGAAGAAAGAAACAGAATCAGAGACAGAGGCAGAGGGGAGAGAATGAATGGGTGAGGGGAGGGAAGGCTGTGCCCTTGAGCACTAAATCACATAAGCAGCTGGGCCTCAGTCTTGTCATCTGTAAAATGCAGGTGCTGACCGATTGCCCTCCAGGCCCCCGCAGGCTATGAACACCCGACTGTGATTTCTCCAGCACAGGGAGCTCCTGGTGTGGAAGCTCTCTCTGCCTACGCAGATAGCAGCTCCTCAGTAACTTCTCGTCTCAGAGATTTGGGAGGGGGCACTGAGAGATTAAGTGACTGGCCCAGGGTTCGACAACCAGTTTGTGCACCAGCAGGATTAGAACCCGGTCCTCCTCGCTGAGTCCAGCTCTCCGACCCCTAGCCCTGGAGCAGAAAAGGCCCAGGCTCTATCTCAGTCAGACTCAGGGACGCTGGAGCAGCCTTGCCATGGACACGTTCACGGGATCTCATAAAACAGGAATCATGTTACTTGTGCCCGGTCTCACTACCAGGCTTCCTTAGCGTCGTGCACCCAGCAGAGCTAATAACAACAATATCTAACGTTTACAACACTCGGGGGATCACAAAGCACTTTACAGCGTTTCATTGGCCCCCCCACAAGCATGAGAGGTGGGTGCTATCATCATCCCATTTTGCAGATGAGGAAACTGAGGCACACGGGGGGGGGTGACTTTCCCAAGGGCACACAGTAAGTGGTAGGGTCTTCTTGGTCAGAGCCGGGCCCAGAGTTCTGTCTGCCTTCCGGTGAGTAGCCGCCTGGGGTGGGAGGGGACAAGCGGCCAGGGCCAGACTCACCTTCACCTGCAGCTGGGGGGACGGAGGGCTCCTCTCTGTGACCAACAGGAGTGGGGTGGGGGCGGCCCCGACGCAGGGCTGGGTGGGCTGCGGGCCCGGGGCGCCCTTGGCTTGGCTGGCGGAGGGGCTGGGGGGGGCCTGGTCCAGGCAGGGCTGGGCTATGTCTTCGGAGAAGGAGACGGAAGAGGTGGCGGAGAGGCTGGTGGGGGCCCCAGGGGCGTGGACGGTGGGCTCGGAGGAGCTCTTGGGCACCGCAGGGGGCTCCAGCTCGCCAGAGGCCGGAACAGAGCCCTCTGAGGAGAGGCTCTCCACGCTGAGGGCCGGCGACGGGGTCGAAGAGGGCGGCTCTGAGTGCGAGAGTCGAGGCGCAGGGAGGCTGCCAGGGTGCAGAGCTGTGGAGACAAAGAGAGGGGGATGAAGAGGGTGAGAAGTTCAGGGTTTGGGGGCGAGTGATGCCCAGAACCTTTGGAAGGGAGCCTAACACAGTGTGAAGAGCCCTGGCTCAGGGCCCAGAGGGCCTGGGTTCAAATCCCACCTCTCCTCGTGTGACCTTGGCAATCACTTCCCTATGCCTCAGTCTCCTCATCTGTAAAGTGGGGGGTTGGCCTCCATGGCCTCTGAGGTCCCCCCCAGCTCTGGGCACTACACAAAGATGGATACAGAAGTTCCAGCCCGCCTGCAGACGGCCACAGGATACGGGAGGGCTGGACCCGGGCTGCCAGGACAGAGGCCGGTAGCCCCACCAGACTGCCCACACCTCGCTCCAGCTTGGTCACGCCCTCACTAGTTACTGGGTACCATTTTTAAAACCTCGGCTTTAAAAATTCTTCCATCTCCATCCCAGCAAACTGTCTCCCTCCTCCCCTCCACCGGTGCAAGCTTTGTCAAAGGGTGTGGTGATGCAGGAAGAGCGTGGACCAGAAAAGAATGGACGCTCTCGGAGGGCAGGGACTGGCCTGGGCTTGTACCCAGGTCTGTACCCCCAGCACCCAGCCCTGTCCTGCCCAGCATACAACAAGCGCTTAAGAAATGCTTGCTGAAAGATCTAAGACATCTCCAAAGGCCTCGTGATGGAAAATGCTATCCACATCCAAAGAAAGAAATATGGAGTCTGAATGCAGACAGAAGCCAACTATTTGCTATTTTATTTCTCCTGTTGTGTTTTGTTTCCTCTTTCTGGTGGTTCCTCCTATTGGTTCTAATTCTTACAACATCCCTAATGTGAAAATATGTTTAATAGGAGTGTATATGTATAGCCCATATCAGACCGTGCGCTGTCTTGGGGAGGGTGGTGGGGAGGAAGGGGGAGAAAAATTTTAAACTCAAAAGCATATGGAAGTGGTTGTTGATAAGTCATAATTAATTAATTAATTAATTTTAAAAAAGGAAAAAAAAACCAAGGAGGAACAAGAATTAGATTGTAATTGATTGTAAGCTCCTTGAGGGAGTGACTCTAGCCTCTATTTGTATCTCCAGAACTTAGTACTGTGACTGGCATAGAGTAGGCACTTAATGTTTACTGATTTATTCTACCAAAAAAAAAAAAAAAAAAAGCAATGCTTGCTGAGCCGGCATTACAATAGCCAGTTTGGGCTCCATCCCTCCTTGCAGAGGTGGGGGGCTATGGCTGTGGAATACTGCATATGCTGCCAGAACCCTGATGGTTAGGGGTGCTTTGCGGGACTTTTTTTCCTTTTCTATTTGTTACAAGGGATCTGGAGTGGGGGTGGGGGGCAGGGGGAGAATTATAAAGGTGATGTAAAAATAAAAAATACCATAAGGTGTTTGAAAAAAAAAAAAGGGGAAATCCAAATGAATCTGAATAATGGGGGAGTGTGGGATACTGGGAAAAGCTGTGAGTAGAAGAGAATGGAAGCCCCCTTAGGGCAGGGGTCGTTTCATTTCTGTCTTTGTACCCTCAACGTCCAGCTGTTGACTGACTTTTGAATTCAATTCCACCAATCAGACAACTACTAAGTAAGCATTTATTAAGGGCTTACTATGTGCTGGGCACTGGGCTAGACCCTGAGGGTACAAAGACAGAAAAATAAACTAACCCTGCCCTCGGCGAGCATCCATTCTCTTGACAGAGACAACCTCTATGTATGTTCTGAGTAGACACCAGAGAAGTGCCAGGTCCATGGAGGGGGGCTCGGGAGGGGCTTCGTGCATGACAAGGCCTCACGGGGCCTCTAAGCCGACATACACGGCAGAACGGATTGGAATCTCCTCTGCCGTGGACCACTCAGTCTCTGCTTGCAGGCACCTAGGGACGGGGAACTCGCTACGTTTCCCAGGACAGAGCACTGCACTCTCACAGATCTGGCTGCAGGGATTTCTTCCCCTGACCCCTAGCCTGCTCTCATCAGCTTCCCTTCCCTGCCCTAGTCTGGCCCTCTGGGGTCAAGCCCTTCCTCTTGTTGGCGAGTGACCCTGGTGGGAGACACGAACCATTCCCCAACGGAATGGAACAAGGTCTGGAGGAACCGCGCTTGGGGATCGTCCACACTCGCGGGCCGCCGTCTCTCCCCAGGCTGGACAAGGCAGGTGTGAGCGCCTGGGCGATACTCAGCTGTAGTTACTGGAGCAAGGCCCCCTGGGGGAGTGATCTCCCTAGACCGCTCAGAGGCAGACTGACCACACTCGGTGGCTATGGGGACAGAGCCCCGGGCTGGCCATGCCGGGGGGCCATGGGGACAGAGCCCCGGGCTGGCCACACCGGGGGG